TTCATTACTATCGCCTATTTTGTATGTTCAGATTTCGCTGGTTCACATGTTTAGGTAACGTACTTTTATGCGCTAAAAATATGTTAGATATGCAAACCGACTGCCGAAAACATAGAAAATAAGGGTCGTGTACGAGTTTGCAATGAAGAGCGCTGGGCGCTTAACAGGCAAACCCCGGGATTAGCCCGACTTGTAGGAAGGATACCGCGAGGGAAATTGTAAGGTCCCTACCTACCTAGATCACTCCAGCTTCGCCGCAAAAATTGCGCGGTTAGGGCGCTAATCCTTACGGGCCTGCAACCATCGACCCCCGTTGCAACGCTTCCCACCCACCTCGATATCGGCGTGCTCTCTCGAACGGCGTGATCTCTCGCGTGTTTTGTCTTCTTTGACCGCCCTGCCATCGTTCCACATCCGACCTTTTTGAAGAAGGCCTTAATTTCAGCGATCCCAAAGATTTCTCTAGCTTTCCTTTCCACTTTCAGGCCGTCCCGCAGCTCAGTCATCACTACGAAGCGCTTTGACCATTTTTATCCCGGGGCTTGCCTTTAAAAGAGGAAGAATAGGAACCAGCGAGACGCACCAAGACGTACTTGCAACGCAAGGTGATCGACGCTCCGCATGGCGGCCTTAGCCACAAGCATATGACCATAGCACTCTGCCACGGACTTTCAAGCCGCAAAAGTGGCATTACGGTCGACGTTGCATCAAGCTACCTAATTCACAGAAAGGATTGTTTCTCCGAATCAATTCTTCCAATCTCCCAATACTGACCGAGGCAGTTTCTGACATGCCGAACCTAGAAATTGATAGACTAGTCGTGAACTTGCTCTTCCTAGAAGAACTACGATGTGTCTCATTGCTCCTCAGGGACCCCTTGCAAACTCCCAGCACGTGCCACGCCCTCAAAAGCATATTCCGCAGTTGTAGGTGTGTGGTATTGGGTCGGAAAATGAAAGTGATTCGACGATCGGTCTACCCCCAGTGAGAGTAAGCAAAAGATTGCTAGGAATCTTGAAACCTTCCTCCTAGAGGGTCTCATTTGTTGCTTCAATCTCTTTCGGTGCTTTGTTGTATTATATTTTACGGTAGCAAGAGCAAGGGACAAGCAGCGAGCTTTTCGTGGATACCCGACAGGAGGTCCGCCACGGAGCAAAATGGCACAGTCAGCGGACGAGTCGCAACGCGTTCTGTGTGATGTGGGACGTACAATTGTTTAGTTAACTTGACGCGTATTGCGGTGCGCGTTGCAACTCGTCCGCTGACTCTGCTTCTCGCCGACACGAACAGGCCTACATGCTCGGACTACCCATTATTCGCAAGGTCAGAGCGCCGTCAACCCTCTCCCCTAACTTCCCAACAGGCGATTTGCACTCTTTTACTGGTTCTACAGTTGTCCTCTCTGTTCACCGTTCATACACCGGGAGCATGACCCGTACAGTACTACACTAATTCACTGATTTATGAGCACATTAATCAACCCTACTCAATCGCGGAATGCTCCTCTAAGCGGCTTTAGTATTCCACATTGTTCCCGGCTGTTCCATGTTTTCCAATGTTCCATGTTTCCAGGTCACTGGCAAATCGTGCCTGGCGAAGTTTTTACGCTGAACTCTGCCTCTTGGTACTGGTGGTGTTCAACACCGTTCTGCTCGCTGCATTACTTCTCAAAGTCAGTCGAAGAGGCTTACAGATTGGCAGAAATATGTAAATTCGGGTAAAATAGAAATTTTCTTTCAGACAAAACGAAGCCTTTCAACTGCCACCGTCCTTTTCGTGTTCAATATCATGTTCTCTAATCTGCTGTTCTTCTCCTCCTTTGTCTTCTTTATGGGTGCTGTATTCGATGATCGACCGTACGGAAGCGTCAACGAAGACGTCAGTTTTTTGATTCTCAGTTAAAGAGTAGGGGCATGAGATGTTTGTTCCGTTCTTTCGGGATGCGCCACACATACTACTTACATACTAAATTGTAGAAACACATGAATGTGGTTAAGCATGCACAAGTATCACCTATGATCTCACTGTCCACCCTCTTGCGTGCGGGTTCCAGCAGCGCGTCCATTCGTCCATTTGTCCTGCCAGGGTACCTGCATAAGTCCTCATAGCTTGAGAGACCTGAACAAGACAACAAGAAGTCTGACCATCAAGCGCGGTCGCCCTGGTGTCCTTTTGGCGTTCCGAGGGCTCCGGACGCGAAGACGCGCTTGTTCAGTAGTTACCATAAAAATTGTCAACGTCCGGCCCACTCGGTCTCTGATTCTTTGGCGAAAACAGCAGCGCCTCTGATCCCCAATCGTTGACGAAATCGTAACTCTGTATTCCTCTTCCATATATGTGTAGAGGAATCATCCAGTTTCGTTCTCCTCACAGCACGTAGGATGACGCTCACTGCATGCTCGCCCTACCTGTGCGGAGTCCATGCTTCTGAGGAGTACGCCAAGGGAGAAAAGAGTGCAGAATCAAAGAAGCGGACATCGAACCGGATGATTTTACCGTGTAGTTGCTTGAACATATATGGCTACTATTTGCAAGGGAACTCTTAGCTATCGCTGATGCTTTCGGTTTGGAGCGAATCAATTAAATTAGAAAGCGGAATTCACGACTGAGTGAGGGCGAAGTAAATTCAGTGGAGCGTGCACGAATCCACCATTAACATTGCAAAAATTCAAGTGCAATCCAAGTCAGGCTTAAGCATGGTGGCAAAGAAAAAGGGAGAGGTTTCCAAAACCTAAGGAGACAGGATTTTCTGGAACGAATCTTTCTGGTGACCAACGTCA